AAGGATATTCCATTTGAAGTGAGACAACGGAGAAAGAAGTACAAAGAGCTTGTGCTTTTTCTTCAGAAAAATTCAACTGGATATAAATGGCTATTTCCAGAAGGCGTCACTTTCAAGATTAAGGACAAAAAAGAAAAGATTGACTCTGTTCCGAAAGCTCAAGAATTCCTAAGGGTTCAGTTGGGAAGACCAGAGGATGGGAAAAAAGAAGAGGACAGCAAGTCTAGTGGCAGGGATGATCGGGGGTACTGTTTGTAGACAGTTTAAATTTAAGCTTAAAAGAAAAATATTAACTTTAAATGCTTGACTCAGTTTATAATGTTATAAATGATGGAAGATTGAATGTAACTAAGCTAGTTGGAGGATCTCCCCTCTTGGGATTTTAGTTAGTAGTGGGTTCTTTATCCCGTAAATGTAGTTTTCCCTCCCCCTTTTCTGTTGTAGTTTTTGTAGTGATATATAAAAAATAAAACAAATCCCCTCTTGGGGCTTAAAAAAAGAAAGAAAACTACACACACACACATACAGGCGCACAAACCCAAGAATGATTGTTGCCTTGAGCTCCTCAGAGAAAGGGCAGGATCCCAATGCAAAGGTATAGCCTACCTATTTTTCATTCCCTCTTCAATATGTGGTTCCCTTTCATTTTCCACCGCACCCAGATTACACCTGGACCCCACCAACGACTCAATTGATTTTTGTGGCAGTGGACTGATCCTTCCCACACGCAGCCTGTGCATTCTGGTGACGACTGGGAAGCGGCCGTATCTCTTTGACACCGTCATGCTTCTTCTTCCCCTTGGGGAGGCTATTGGAAGCCCCGTGGGTTTTGTGGCAAAGGGGCCTCTGCAGCTTTGCAAAGTTTTTAACCAGACACGTGTCCAGAACAGGATGCTGAGCTGCGACATGTGCCACAGCCGCTCTTAGAGAGTACCCACCTCAACTCCCAGGCGAAGAAGGACTTGTGGTGTATCTGTGCTACAGGCTTAAAATCACTTTAACAGCCCTTCCTTCACCCGGAAAATCCAGTGGGAACTGTCCTTCTGTAAGGGCCCAAATGGATGTGTGTGTGAGTGTTAATGAAACAGCTGACCCAATCTGCATCTAGCATTTGCTCCACTGGTTTACCAAACCCACACTGGAACAGAAATTCCCCTCTGCATTGCATGCCACTTTCACTTTGACTGACTGTCAGATTTTATGGCAGTGTCCAGACGGCATGCTGCTTTGACTTCGTTTGATCTCTTGGTTTTATGGTAGCCGTCTGGATAGATTTATGGCCCTTTTATGGCCATTCAGGGGTGACTCTGCAGTGAGTATGGTGTTGGCCTGGGATATCTGAATGCAGTTTTGAGCCACATCTTTTTCTGCGGTTCGAAAGCGCTTACTAACATCAAAAATGCGCAAGTAGATAAATGGGAACCTACCTTAGAAGGTAGGGGGCACCCTCCCCCGTTGTGGGGGTCGTTGGAGTGTTGGAGTCCGGTGGACGGTGAAGCGGCAAGCGGCGAATGGCAAAAGATGGCGTCCGGCTACATCAAAGGCGGAACAGACGTCGGCGGAGAGGCGGAGCCACGATGACACGTGAGCGTGGACGACGCAGGCAGGGCGGAGCCGCGAGGACTTAGCCAAGGCCGCGCCGGAGCATGCCCGTGGCAGAAGGGGTCCAACCGATCTGCCACTGAAAGACCGCCAGGAAGGAGCCAGAAAAAGCCTAGTGACGCCGGAAGTCGACATAGCCGACCCGAGAAGAAACCCCTCCACTGGGTGCCGGTAGGGATGTCCCCATTCTGAATAATTGTGGCCATAGGTTCACACCCGTTGTGCCAATGATCTCACATCGTCTCACACATTTCTGTCTGCATCTCTAGCCACATCCACTCTCCCGTTGTTTCATCTCAACATCGGCTGTCTGCATCATCTTGCTGCCATTTAGTAGGAACTCCGAGGTCACTATGGCGTCTCACCGCCTTACCTGAATGTGGCTTTAAGGAGGTACAACTGCTCCTCCCCACCGTCGAGCCAGTGTGAGCAAAAAGCAGACAACTGGAGATGAATTCCCGCCCCCCCAAAAAATCTTTTCTAAGGAGATATGCAAATTGTCACAAAGCAAAGAAGTTAGCTAAAAACCCAGTTGTCTGTGTTTAAAATCAGCCAGGGAACATTTTTCTGCGATCATGGGGGGGGAGGGGGTTTGGAAACATGCCCACCCCTGAACCATTTGTTATTTCCTGGGGCAGCCTCCCAAACGCCCTGCCTGGCAATTGCTGGGTGTTTTGTGTTTTTTACCCAGCTTGTCCCATCTTTCCTGCCCCCCCGCCTCCCCCTCTACCAGGTCACCCCCTTTTACTTTCGGGGGGCGCAGGTGCCATTTCCTCCCCACAGCACAGTGCAGTACCCTGCCGGTGCCCCTGGGAGGCTGCTCTTCCCCCCTCCCTCTCGTGCTCTCCCTAAACAACTTGCATCCTGATGCAGAGGAGAGCTTTATACTGAACCAAATGGGAAGCCAGCACACTTCTGGTAACATGGGGGTGCAGCCTAATGTGCTAATGAGCTGTGCTGTCAGAGTGTGGCCTAATATGCTAATGAGTTTCTGCGGTTGGGTGTGGCCTATTATGCTAATGAGTTCTTGCTGGGCTTTTTCTACAGAAAGAGCCCTGGAGATTGTAAAATGCTCTAAGACTCCTTCAGGTAATGAAGGGCGGGGTATAAATCCAATCTTCTCTTCTTCATTGTGGATTGCTGAGGCTATTCACACATCACTAGAATAGTTTGGCAATAAAAAAGGAGGAGATGAGCTCTGAGCACCCTAAACAAATGATAATTGCCAGGTTTCTTGGGTGACTGGGGGTGGTGGACAACAGTTAATCTGGTCTGAAATCAGTATAAATGGCCTCTGTCCTGATTGCAGTGTGATCTTACCTAAAGAAGAATCTATTTCCTTGATTTAGGCATTTGTTTCTTCAGTATATAATTGCCAGTGATATTGTGGTTGCCAAGGGCACAATACCATATGCAGGTCAACAGTTTTCTGCCACTTGCTCACGGTTCCATTCTTTGGTTTAGGGTTGCCAACCTCCAGGTTGTTATATCCAAAAGAGAGCTCACTGGAGGAGGTTGTATCAGAACACAAACATTCCGTGCAGGGGTCATTTCATAGAAAAAGAGCTAGGGGAACTGATTAGGATAACTCATTAGCATATGCCACAACCCCTGACATCATAAGGCCCGGCGGTGGACCTGCAAGGCCGGCGGGAGTGCAAGGAAGCCCCGCCAAGGCCCTCCCTGGCCCCAGGCAGGCAGGGGTGGGGAGAGACGGGGAGGAAGCAACTTACCCTCCCTCTTCTCCTGCCTCCTCCTGGCTGAATGAGGGCTGGAAGTGGGGCGGCCGGAAGCATGGGGCGGGGCTTCGTCGTGTGCCCCGCCCCCCGCACCTCGCCCGGGGGAACTGCGATCCCCCGCGATCCCCCCCGAATCGACCTCTGATTCCGTGAATAACTTAGAACCAGAAGTGGAAAGAATATATTATCCTAGAGTATCAGCTATCTGATGAAGCAGGAAGCAAATGCGGCACTGAAGCCGGCCGTGTATAGCTGCTACTCCCTTAACGTGGAACTTTTGTTTTCCTGTGGAACTTACACTTTTTGGAAGCGTCTGCTCTCCCGAAGCATCTTATACAGAAGATTGGTGTACTTTGGCTCCGGTCACACGGAAGGTTATGGGCCTGGAGAGGGACGGATCGGGGGCGCAGCAAATGGGCGCGATCTCACCGCAACATCTGGGAAGCGGAGCGCACCCGTCCCCGATCTGTCCCTAACCCCGGAAAACCCGCTTCAAAAAAGAACCTCCTACAGAGGAGGACTTACCTGCAGCACCACAGCAAGCACGACCGTGGGATTGCCGCCGCTCCCGTTGTGCGTATCAATCCCGGCTCCCCGCCGAACTGCGCATGCGCACACATGCGCAGTTCGGCTGCCGCGCGCCTCTTTC